TCTTCTAATAAAACAGCGCTAGGTTCGCTAGCCGGATAGGCACTACCTCGGCTGCTGCTAGCACCCGTCGACGTAGGTTCTTGGATAAGTTAGCTAGGGTCCGGTAAACAACCTGAAAGGCTTTGTTGGGAGGGACTTGGGGATTCGCATCGACAAGATGTGCGAGCATAGAACTTCAGATCGATCTAGTTTCATCTTTACTTAGCTCGACCGCTATGTGTCCAGGTGCCCTCTTGTCTCGAATATTCACCCCGGTGCATGCCCCCCTCCGATAAGAATTTGGTTGTCACGTTTGCCTCAGCAAGCCTGGTGTCAAACTTCGGGAATCCTTTGAGTTCCTTTAACACCGAGGGATCTTTGGACTGCAACAAATATTCACACGCCGAACTCGCCATGCGGGCGACTTGTAAACGGTGAGTTGTAATAATAGGACACTTATTAACCCTGTCCAACTGTACTATTTTCATTATCCATGCAACCGTACAATGATTTTCCCATCCACCTTCAAGACCCACGCTGACTAGCCTTTGTTACAGTTCAACCATTTACATAACTTTTTGATTCCAGTAAGTCCTGGAAGGTTTCAGACCTCGTTTCGGCCTCGCCCGCGTTCTCCATCTGTCCTCCACGTAAGAGTATTACTGTGAGATGAAAGATTCCTCAGTTGCCTGTATTCATTCTGCCCAAATGCGTTTATCTCCTTATGTCAGAGTATGTTTTCTGCCGTGATGGAGGGGTTGGGCTACAACAGGTCCATTATTTTATTGAATTTCTTAGCCCAAAAGTTTTTTTTTCATGCCGACTTGAAGAAACTGAGTCCGAAACAGCTCAATCTATGTCCTCGTTTTAAATTTAATCTATCATAAAAGAAAGTTTAGAGTGTCCCTTAGAGCTTCTAGCACATCCGACATATAATAATAAGTGTATACTCTATGCGAGGCGTTAAAAACGTTTTCCAGCAGTTTACAAAGGCACGACCTTCCAGATCATACAAAACAGCTTCCGGTAAGCAGTAAACAGCAGGAGTTTCCTTGGTAGTGGTCATGGATACAACAAGCCGTAGGTTGTTTTCATACGGTAACCGTGAGAGGGGTTTTTTAAGTTGATAAAACTGATTTACCAAAAAAGGATTTTGTGAAAATAAGGAAAAAAAGTCGTAAAATTTTGTTTAAATAATTTAATACGGTGGCTACAGGCCCACGGCGTTGGGCGCGTGAATAGAAAAAAGGCGCAAAAAACAAATCGAGCTCGAACTGAGCACTCGAGCACTAATCGCTGTCGACAAACTTGGATATGTGGAGTTTTATTCCGAAAACTTTCCTTTGCCCAAAACCCAGTAATAATGGCTTTTTTGAAGAGTTTTTGTAATATTAAGCAGAAACTTCGGGCATTTTACATAAGATATCACTATCCCACGCTGAACCTAACACTAACCCTATATCGAGCTCGAATCGTTGTCGACAAACCTGGAAATGTGAAGTTTTGTTCCGCCTCTACCAAGGAAACTCCTGCCCAGTGAACCTAGCTGCTGGCTAACTGGTGCGTACACAGATGGCGGATAATGGAACGGGCTTCAGCGAAGGTTAGCTGCGGGATAAGCAGGATTCTGGGTCTTGCGAATAAACAGTCGCGGACCAGCGGCGAAAATGTTACCAGGACTTGGAGGGCTGAGGTCTGACCCACCGACTGCCTTATCAATGCTGCAAGTCCCAATGACGGCACCGTGACATGGCGAGCGTGAACCTCCATTAAATAGGTTTTCTTGCCACCGCTGCCTTGTGATTAGGTTCTTCAGCTAAAGTGCTAGAGAAGACAACCTCGGACAAACAATCCGAGTGGCTATTGGGGACCAGTCTGTATTCAAAATCTCCAACCGTCCTCATAAACATGTCCACTCACGACACACCGCCACCTGGAGGCGTCGAAGAGGAGGGCAATTAAAGACTTGGCTCGAAACCGTTCGTCAAGACATGGAAGCTTTCAGGTGGACTTTTCTAGATTCGCTGTCGCCAATCATCACGCCTGGGGAGGAAGCGTCCGTGACAGCATTGAGGTCGGCTAGACCAGGCATGATCACAGCTGTATCAAGTACAAGCAAGTAGGCAGTCTCCTTGGCCCAATCACGGATCGGCAAATCCATGAGAATCGTAGGCTTTGCCGCAGGACTTGGAGTACGTACTTGGGCAAAAGCACCAGTAACACTCTGTGGGCGTACGGCCGGCCGTACTGTTCCTGGATAGGGTTGCAAGAAGTGAACCCGAAAGACGCAGGCGTCAGTTGCTCTTTTGCTGCCGTGAATAAATATGCAACGCCATTTTCACTGGAAAGGGTCTCTTCTTCCCGATTTGGGAGATGCCACTTCCCGCATTACGTCACAGCCGTCAGCTAACACTAAACAAAACCGGCCAATGTGAGACCACCTTGGTTAAACCATTGTGGCGAGACAGGAGCGGAGTTTAAAGAGGGGCTGCCATGGAACCGTGATCATTTTATAATAGTGAGACATTCATCACGTCAACTGCCAAACTGCTCCCACCGAGTAGCGGTTGGTGCACCCAAATCAGCAGTATATAGCGGAGGTAGAAGTAGCACTGTCCGCTACTGCGGACAAACACCTTCGTCTAGACAGCGAAATCGTGAACATGAACTGGACATATCCGATAGGTGAGGTGGCCCGCGTCAACCAGTCTTCGTTAGGACGTTAAACGGCCATTGATAGCACCAGGATGGATGCAAACCGAGCTAATTGGCGTTGCAGAAACTTAGCTACGCGACCGCCACCGCCGTAAATTGATGGTGGAGGGAGTGTACCTTTGAAACGTATCACAGCTAAAAAAGACGAGCATAGCTACATGAGAGTAGTTAATCATCCACCGGATATATCCGGGGTCTAGTTTGGCTGACGTAAGAGACGGACCTAGGTGTTTCGTTTGCAGGACTTCCATCAGTTGCTATCACCAAAAGGTCCTGTTTACGGGTACGTAAAAGCTCAGATACGAATGGGAATATATTGCGTTCGACCGTCGTTTCCGACGATGTAAACCATCTTCCGCACAGCCTGATGGATGCAAGGATGATGGCATACACGTTAGTCAGTTTACAGTGAGAGCTGACTTGCGATGCATTCACCGTACACTTTCCTTCCTCACCCATCTGCGCCGACTGTCATGACAGACTCAAGATCGGGATCGGACACAGTTACCTGACGGGGCGTGAGCCTGTGTCTAGTTCTGCCACCACACCCTCCTCTAATGTGTGACACTTGTCAGGGATGAGCATCCTCAACAGTGCTTGCTGTGCCTCTATCTCGCGCCCGCATTGATCAAACCTATCTATCACCTGGCCCATTTTAGGTGTATGTAACAGTCCGTGATCATCACCACTATCGCTGACTCACCTTCTTATTCGCTTGCCAAGCCTTGCACTCGCGCGCGACAAGCGATGCCACACGCTCTTCGATCCGCTGTGAAAGCCGCTCACGGCCGGGGTGCTGTCACGCGAGTTTTGGCCCTAGACTCGCAAAATTTCGAAGCCAATCAGTGTGCGTCATTTACCTGATTGGCTGCGGGCCACAAAGAGCATGTCCCGGCGTTACGTTATCCCACGCGCGGGCACACAACAACAAAAATTGGCCTAAAGAGACTGTGAGTAATACTGGTTCTTGTAAGGCACTTTCTCACAGTAAAACGCTTAGCAGCCTGTTCTGACTTCTGATTTAGGAAACCTTCTGTTATCGACTTCGCCATCATAGTTGACGGGTATCTGCACACGCGCATACGTATGCTTGTACTTTATGCAACTAGTTTTTGCTTATAACGCTCGCTTTTCTGTCTGCCATTGCTTTTCAACCTTTTCTCTTTCCTCCTATAAATGTGAACTTACTTGTCTTATAATTCTGACTGGTAGATTGGTTGTCCTGAAGTAGGTCATCCGAAAGTGGTACATCATTGCCAGAGAAGCCCACGAAGCACTGGATGAGGTAGAGTTGAAGGGCAGCATTCACTACAATCAGCATCTTTATCGCAAGATAGGACATCACGAGGCAGATGCCCATGCGTTTGCTCACCACACAGAGGCCGCAGTAGTCATACATTCTGTTAACCGCTCGGGTTTTTCGGCCCTGATATGGAAGAGGAATAAAATTATGACAAAAATGGTTTGATCGGGGAAGAGGGAAAGAATAAAGATCAGTTAAAAGCTCCGGCATGTTTATCTTTCTGTCGCTGCTAAGCTGCACCCCGAAATTAAAACTACCTCGTAGTCCAAATTAATCACGGAAAAGGAGCTTTTTGGTGTTCTGTAGCATTTCAGCATGATGAGCAAGTAAACGCAGGATAGAATCAAGTACAATCAGGCTTTCTAGTTTAAGAAGGTGTTGAATAAGTTTGGGAGCAATAATTTCTTGGGGTCTTACCCTCAATTTATTCAAGAGTTTAATGCATTTAGTTGAATTACGGAGCACCGTAACTTAGATAATTAGAACTTTGGCTGTACGCAAGCCTCCCTCTTGCTCTCTTAGGTTCCAATCCCACTGAGGTCACCGAGGTTTCGAAAATTGGTTCAAAATAATTATTACATTCACACTATCCGTATCAGTTTATTGATGGAAAAATAGGCGAACGCCTTTGAACTCCCTGTTGGTAACAAAATGATAGGAAATATATGGATACAAAGTAAAGCGTAAAAAGTACGCCAATTGCATGACAACATTTGCCAGGTAGTTCAAATAGTATTGAACCATGACTACTTGTTAATCCCGAGTAGTACAGTGTAGTGTAATGCAATGTCCTGATACACGACTGTGAGTCCGGGGGGAAGACACAACATTTGTCCAATGCTCCAAATAGTAATAAAACATAACTACTTTTTAATCATGAGTAGTATGATGTAATGCAGCGTAAATTAATGTCGTTTTATATGGCTGTTTGTCTGAATGGGATTTGATGCCTGGCCAGCCTGCTCTTAAATGGATTAACACTGGTGGAAAGGACAACTTCTTCCACTAGTAATTCTTCTTATCCAAGCTCACCCCTTTTTAAATCAAATCCGTTTAGTTCTTCGTTTTTCAATTATCCAATCGCTAAGGCATCGTACGCTGCACAGGACGATGGAGAAATATAACAAGGGTTCATTTGGCGACACCAGACTGCTAATGAAGTAAGTAGGCAGACAAGACGCTGACACTGAGTTTCTCTAGCTGAACCAAGAGTCCACCGACGGTTCCGACATCAGTAAACTCAACTCAACAGGTTGCAGATAACATCGCCCAACTTTCGCCTCTCCCGCTTCGAAGTTGAGCACTAGTGAACCGGAACAGCTAACCCAGGCCTAATAAAGGGGAATTAAGGAGGGGGAGGGGGCGGAGAGCAAGGAGTGACATACAAACCTTTCGCTGACAACGGTGCCCATCAATCATGTCTTCCAGAAAATCGGCCACGCGAGCAACCTTGCGTTGACGCGTTTGCCGATCGTCTGCCACAGCTTCTCGCGCTGATCCCAGCAGAGAAATGATGTCGCTACTAGCGCGAGCTGTATAGACTGTCTTCCAAAGTATTTGGGGTAGGTAGAAGAGGATGCACTGCAGGCCCAACACAAAGGGCACCCACTGATAGTAGGCTAGCCGCAAGGGGAGAAAGAGGATTTAGTAACGAATAGATTATTCTGTCAGTAATAGTACTTTAAACTCCACACAAAAATTTAAAAACGTTAAATGCATAGACAAGTGGTATTCGACCGATCTGATTGTACATATTAGCATACCCACTTCATTTTGTCATCAAGCATCAAAAAGTGTCCTGGCAGAAGGCCGTGTAGGCAGAGCCAAAACGCCTGAAGAGCATAGCGACAACGATGTGGAAGAGTGAAATGCTGTTTGTTATTGGCTACCTTATAATAGTCAACAAGTCAGTTTCCTTAATTTATCTGAAATCCTTTCAAATAATAGACAATAACCAATAGAGGAGAATATCCGAGTTCCAGATTTCCTCGGGAATCCGAAACGTCAGGACAATAAACCTCTTGTTCCAGTGATCGCTTCGTCTTCTTCTGAATAGACAGTAAGTTAAAATTATAAAGTCAACTGTTCAGTTTGCTAGCAGTTAAGGAACTGCAATTAAAAATATAAATGGCATATTATACAATTTTAGTACCAGGATGACAGTATTCTATGAGCATGTAGAAGGACGTTACAGACAAAGACAGGGGCCCTGGAATGGCCATATCTGCTTTATTAGCCATAAGAAGCCAGCCATACCAAACCTAGGCGTTGCAACACTCTTGCCTCTGTCGGTAATGCCTATATAACTATACCATGACCCGTTACTTAACCTATCCCTTACCCTCCGTGAATGTAGCCATTTTTTTGCAAAAATGTTAGGATTTTTCATCTAAAATAAAGCAGGTATTCTCTCTCTCTAAGAGATGAGACAGCGATGAATTTATGCTTTGTCTTTGTCAATTCTTTGTCATTCGCTTAGCGGCTGCTGGCGGTGCTCGAGAGTGAGCCCCAAGGCAGAAAGGGATGAATGAGTCGCGTAAGCGATCGATGAGCGCCTGTGTACCATATTTATTCAGCCAGGAATGGGTGCGCACCAACCTGTTGGTTTCCCAGAACAAAAGCACTTTTTATAGGTGGTAGATGTCACGAACTGGCAACCACCTAGGTAGCTGAATTTGGCCGAACTAGTCTAGTAGAGGCAGACGGCAAAGATTGGAATTAGATGGACGCAGAGCTGTTTCCGACATATTTCGCCTGCATTCAATCGTGACGACAATCTGGAAATGGGTACTTAGACGAACTCACACACACGGTGCGGATGGTCCACCACCGGGATTTACCAGCTGGGTCATAAGTATTTCATCGAATCCAAATTCATAAGTGTCTCGCCCCCTGCCATTTGCTGTCGTCTTCCATTCTGCCATCATAGTGTAGCGACCCCCTTTCTTAATCATGCTTTCCTCGGACGCCGCGCGGACTA